CCCTTTTTCTCCCCAAAGCCCCAGTAGATAGTTGTATGTCATAGTTGCACATCCTTCTTAGTTGCTGTATGTGGGACGCCGTATGTCGGTGCGCGCCCGGGATCCGAACCTGGGCCGCCGGCAGTGGAGCACGCGCACTTAACCACTACGCCATGGAGCCGGCCCCTGCTCGCTCCTTTTTATGCGGAGAGGTCTGGGCATCCAAATACCATCATATTCTGATTCCTTTGGTTACATTTTTTTAAAATGATGAAACAGGTTTATTTTTAAAGTGTTAATATTTACAACACAGTAGATATTGTATCTGGTGCAACTAACTGAACTCGTGTTGGAAATTTTCAGACGTCAATTAAAAATGTAAGGGGGTACGTGGTTGTTCAGAATTATTTGCGGGTGTATATGAAAAAGTTATTGACACATGTCCTGTCAGTTTGCAGCACCAGTTCAGGAGCCCTTTACCAGTAGCTCCTTATCTCTCCTTTTATTCCCAGTGCCTGGAACGTAGGGAACTAAATCAAGGTAGGTTGAGATGAAGGATGAGCATCGCCTGTTGGCTGGGAATGGCCTCATAGCCTCAGTGTGGGATGAGGAAGTATTTTGTCTTTCTTTGAGACATTTTCTGTGGGCTGTATCAACATGGTGAAACTGACTCTTGAGAAATCTCCTTTCGTCATGACCAGCAAATAAACAATATCATAGGATACAACATCTTGCATTTGCATTTAATAAAGTAACAAAAAAAAATGAATCCATTACAAAAGTACTTGGAAGATATTTGTATTTAGCACTTTGAAATTTTGGGAAGGGGACTTTGTAAAAGAAAAACTCAGGGGAACTAGTACTGAACTGAAAATGATTATGTTCAACTTGAGGGATTAGTAGCCTTAAGTTAGCATTTTCTTTTTTATACTTGAGCTAGAGAATTTTCCAAAGCTCTCATTTAGATATAATGGCATTTGAACCATGGGATTATATAATTTATTGGAGGACAATGGAAGGGTTAGTATTCCTCACTTAGGCTCTGTGGCTATTCATTTGGAAGAGACTTTAATCATGAATTTATAGTAGGCTTCTGCCAAAGAAAAATTAAGTATGTTTTTCACATTTGCAAAAATCCTACAATAATAACTTTTTAGTTCAAAAAGCTTGTTCACACCTTAAGAGAAGAGCAAATTGCCAGTGCCTTAATTAATTCAAAAATAATGACTCACACTTGTAGGGCCAACAGAAAATAGCAGAAAAGATAAAGGCAGTGTGGTATTCCTTTTAAGATTCATAATTAGTCACCAGTCAATTGACAAAAGAATGTTTACATTCTATATTTTGACTTAGAATTTCAAAAAATGGTAGAATTCTAGGTAGAAGGGATTCTAGAGCTGATAATTTCACCTTACTTTACAGAAAGGGGAAGGATTGTTCCAAGTTCAGAGCAGACCTTGGAGCAGATTGTGGGATTCATCTCTTCCTTTCAGTCCCTCTCCTGCTGCCCCTGGATTTCAGGCTGGCGTCCCTCAACCACTGGCTTCATGGAGACCCTCAAGGGCTATAGTGAGGTTAGGAGGCAGGTACACAGAAGGATCCAGAGGGCAGGACCTGGGCCTCTAATCTCATGACAACCAAAGCAGCTTCAAGTTTTCCTTTTATGTTTTGGACTTCTGTTTAGAATTGGTAAAGAAAAGAAAAGTCTCCTGCACCATTGTCTCATTCAGAAATTGTCAAAACATGTTATAGCTCCTGGGGTTATAATAGGAACCAGCCAAAAGGAGAAAAGATAATAAGTGGAGGTGGAAGCAGGGTGAATGAGATGGGGATGTGTGATTCCAAGCAAAGGATTCTCAGCCTGACAGAGCTGACTGCAGAAAGAAATGAAAACTGACTACCAACCAGGTTGGGAGCCTCGCAGGAATATTCGTTCCTATCTCCTTTGACAGCTCCCCCAGAAGAGTTTCCAGGAGTTGTCCACACAGGTCTTGGCTTGCAGCACCCCCGCCCTGCATTCTGAGCTGGGTGCAGGCATCCCTCCATCCTTTCTCCTGTCCTCCCTGGCCCTCACCCACCGCCTGTTGCTGATGGCGTTGCCCTCGAGTTCCTTGTCCCTCGGGCATTGCAGTTGTCCCGCCCCTTCCTGTGTGACCGCCCTCACTACACTCAGGTTAGCTCTGTGAGAGCAGCCCTCCCTACCTGCTCCTGCCCAGCACCGGCTCCCTGGCCTCTGCTGCAGGTGCGGGGTGGGCCCTCGCTGAACACCTGTCACATGGGTTTGAGGACGGTGTAACCTGGGCCCTAGGGAAGGTTATCCATGAGAAATGGAGGACTCGCCTGGACAAGAGGGGAGCTCTGGTAATAGCACTCTTCATTGTACATTTTCAAAATGGTTTAACACGTACACACTGAACACAGACTTCTCACACCTTGTTGACTTAGGGTTTGCAGTTGGCTTAATTTAGAGCAGTGACTCTCAAATTCTTGTTTTTACCTCAAAATTTCTGAGGGATATAAAGCAAGCCCAGAGAAGCATTCTTGATCTTATACCTGGATAGAAAGGGAGTGGGGGCGGGTGGGCTTGGAGTGCCTCCTCCACCCTTGATGCATTCTGAGTTCCCAGCACATGTGTGAGCCAGGAAAACCTCGTCGCCACAGGTGGTCCTAATGTCTCCACTGGGGGCCAGGTGAGAGTTCTACTTTGGGGAGCAGATCTCTCGAGGTTACTTCACACTTATTGACACCTGCTGGAGTGGTGAGAGAGGGAGCAGGGCTCGACCAAGCACTTATTTAGTACCTACCGTGTGCTGACACCTCCCTCTGACCAGCCAGCCCCACTCTACCTATACAAACACACCTAGAGTTGGCATTACATATGGCATTGTGGGTCCTTGTGTACGTGTCTGTCCCCTCATGAACTGAGTCTCCAGAGAGCCGAGACTCTTGGACTGGAAATCTGTGTCCTCAGGTCCAGTCACAGGGCCCTTCCATCCTGGCACCCACCCAGCAGTGGAGGCATGCCATGGGCATTGCACTGTGGACTGGCATCACATTCAGTCCTTGCCGCAGTCCAGACGAAACTGAGACAGAGGGCACGGTCCAGACACCTGCCCCAGGCAGTCAGCCAGCTGCTCTGCTAGAATTTGAATCCAGGCCTCTGTGACCTGAAACCTGCATGCTTTTTCGCTGTGTCCTGCTGTTTATATACTACATAGGCAGAAGGAAAAGTGTTAGTTTGATTGACCTACTTGTTCAGTGACAGTGACAAAAGGGAAGGCAGGAAACGGGTCTGGCGCAGCTGCCTGGGCTGCTGTTGCCGGCTGTGCAGTGGAGCAGCGCTGAGTGGAGTCGGCAGTCGGGTCTGGCTCCATGGAATGACATCTGAGGGCCGAGGCCCAGGCTGCGTGGACAGAGCCGCGGCGACCGTCCAAGGTGTGACAGCTTATCAGCAAACCATTAGCAGAAAAGGTTTCGGTTGTATTAATCCGTAGGCACTGTTTCTTCTCCATATTTGCCCTCTAATTAAGAGTCTTGCAACAAAAGCCAGGAAGAAAGCTAGAAGAAAGAGGTCATTGTTTAAAAGCATTCACTGCATTCAGATATATTGCCTTGTGCATTTACGCTTCTCGAAACAATTCCTCCTTTGTGTTCTGTTCTTTACTTGGGAGCTCTTTTGTGAAATGTCTGTTTTTCTTACATTTTGGTTCTTTTGTTGAGTTTATTTGAGCTTGGAACCCCATATAAACCAACACCTGAAGGAAATTGCTCCTTGGTGCTCTCTTGGTTTTGTTAATTCTATGTTGCTAGTCTGCTGTCCAGTTACAATGACAGCGATGTTGAGTGCGATGACGCTGTCACTTCAGTGCATGATCATGGGGAGTGTGTACTCGGCGTGTCCATGGTGTTTACTCATTTTAGGCATTTATTCATTTATTGAAGGAATGATTTTAAAACAAAGTACACTGAAACTACAACACAACACAGACCTTATTTCCTGGGCCACCGTGAACAGGGCTTACATCATGTGTCCTGCCTGAGGTGTCTTAAAGTTTAAAACCTATTTCTCCATTAAATTTAAAATAAAACAACTCTGGTATCCAGCTGGCTCAGAGTTGTGTGCTCCTGTCCTCCCCGCTTAGCACAGTGAGAAGTTTCTTCTCCACACGTAGGGCTCTCCGTAGTCTTAGAAAACCCAGAAGTTCAGTGAGAGAGAAACAGTAATCTCACTCTACTTAGTGGTAATGTATCTCCAGGAAGCTGGATGCCTGTGCCTGATGGCTGCAGTGTCCCCATCATTAACTTTGAGTGTGATGGCACTCAGGCCTTGAGAGCGAGTCGCAGCTCTGTGCGTGTCACTGCTGCTGCCGCAGAAAAGCACATTTAGTGCTCGGGGGCCAGGTGACCTCAACCAAGGATACTTTTGTTGTGATTCTTAATTTTTCCTGAAGGTTCTCTTCCAAGATCATCTCTTATTTAAACCAAAACGTACTGTCTCATGTATAAAAATGAAGGAAGAGCCAGATGCTGACGAAGAGTGTCATTAATATTTTAGGCTGAATTTCAGATCTTCCTATGGAATATTTGTCAGAAGTTCCCGAGTAGTATTATTTATTTCTAAGTTTGCGTATATTTTTAAAACCCCTATTTTTTAAAGGAACTCAGTTAAAAACTACTTCAATTAAACCAAAGATCAGACTAGAAACAACTGCATTCACCATGTCATTAGTCTGAATTTTTAAAAGTGTTTGCCCATAGGCACATACTGGATAAAAATTCAAAAGGCTGATTCATAATACGCTGACTTTTGAGGGAGAATTTTGCTCTCAATCACACATATGCATACGGCTCCATCCAAGTTACCGCATTTCTGGAGGCAGCTGTTGTGTTTGACTGGATCCCCCTTTGTTCCTACACCTCAAATTCCACATTTCAAGGGAGTCAGGCAGTTGGTTTTGCTCTTGTCCGGCAGTGTAGGAACTGAAGCGTTGGCTGACCTGTCCTTGCCGTGTTTTGTCCAGTGAGCCTGCCCCTGGGGCCCAGCAGTCCCGGCAGCGTGGACGGGGTCCCACCAGTGCTGCCAGACGCCGAGGAGACTGTTTCTGTCAGCAGCTGTTTTGCGTCTGAGGACACAACTGAGGACTCAGGAGTGATGAGTTCCCCCTCAGACATCATCTCTCTGGATTTCCAACATGACAGCATGAAGTTCAAAGATAAGTGGGCCACAGACCAGGAAGACTGCAGTGACCAGGACCTAGCTGGAACCCCAGAACTGGGTCCCCAGAAGAGCCCCTCGGGGGAGAGGAACATCTCTGGGAACTGGCAGCCAAGGTGAGTCACGAGACAGCTGGAAAGGGAGGTCCCATCCTAGTCTCAAAGGAGGGAAGTCTTTTGTCATGGTGACCCAACAGATATTCATGAAGAGTCTACCCTGTGCAAGGCGCCCTCCACAGAAGTCACCACACCCTGATGTGGGGGTTTGTTGTCCACAATCATGTCTTCATGCTCTTTCTAGATATGCAGGTGTTTATAAATAATACATAATATTGTCTTGTTTTTACCCTTTATGTAAATGGTACCATACTCTTAGTATACTTTTTCACTCAGCATCATGTTTTCAAGATTTATCTATGATAATACATGTCGTTAGTTTATTTATCCATTTTTTAAATTAATGGACACTTTGGTTGTTCAGGCTTTTCACCACTGGAAAAAATGAGCAAGTTATACAGATGTCTCTATTTACACACAGAGAGTTTTCTAGAAGAAAAATTATTAGACCTTCAAAAAAACTCATCCTCAACTTTATGGAATATTGACAAATTGCTCTCCAAGATGATTGTCTGGTGTAACGCCCCCCAGTGGTCTATAATGGCTTGTCATGCCACATCTATACCCATCTCTGGAATTAGTAGACTTCTTAAGTTTTGCTAGTCATACAGGTGTCAAATGGCATATGATGTGCCTTTAATTTACAGTTCTCTGGTTAGAGGATGAGCATCTTGCCATATGTGTATTATCAATTTGATTTTCCTCTTCTACAAATTGCCTTTTCATAAACTTTTCCCTTTTTAAACTTTGGGATGTTACATCTTAAAAAATTATTCATTTCTCTTTTGTCAGTTATTGGCACACGGAGAGTCTCTAAGTCTGTGGCTTAAATTTAACTTTGTTTTCTTTTGTTGTATAAAAATTGCTTTTTAAGTTTAATATTGTTGAATCCATCCTTTCTCTTCCAAATGTATATGATCTCTGCATATTTAAGAGACCCTTACCATACCCTGAGGGACTAAAGATTGTCTGAATTTCCTGTAAAAGTTTAGTATTATTTTCTCACATTTAGGCTTCTCAACTACCTGGGGTTTATTTTTGAGTGTGGTGTGAAGAAGAAACCTGTTTTTCCCACTGACTCCTAGTTCCGTTGTGGTCCTCCATCAGGTTTCTGTGTATGCACTGGTCTGTTTCCACACTCTTTTCAATAGGACTGGTCTATTTGTCCATCTCTGCACCAGCACCACCCTGTCATAATTCCTTTCTTCATTCTTATATAGAAAGGCAGGTTAGTTTTCTGGAGCCCATCAATTTTTTTTTCACCTTTTACGTAATTTTAAGCACCAGTTACACAATGGTGACATTAGTAGAAATGAGAACATTAATACAAATAGAGTAGAATGATAAAAAAAATAATTCATAAGTCTATCACCAAAATGAATGAATTCTTTTGTATTTTTCACATTTTGTTCCTGCTTTGTCCATATGAACACACAAATCTTTATCTGATTGATCTAATTGTAGTGTCCATAGTATTTTTATTTTATTTGTTTTTACCTAACAGTTTATCACAAGCATTTCCCCATGTTGTTATAAACACTCTCTTATAAAGTGTAGCTCCTCAATCTTAAGGACAATTCCAATGCCAAGTTCACATTTCATTAGACAGGAAATTAGAGGCTGGCGATTGGTCCGTTTCTGCTCCGCCCCACACAAGATGCGTTTAGCTGAGGTTGGTCTATGCCGTTAGCATCTATGAGAGCAGAGAAACATTACAGCATTTCCTTCCTAGTCTATTTGACATAAAGAAAAATGGCTTTCTACAGTAATCTCCAGGTGTGTTCTGTTGGTTTGCGCGCAGATCTACACCGAGCACTACAGCTGAAAGTAATCGGACGTTTTAACTCTGTGCCCCCAGGAAAGCTGGTGTAGGAGTCCTAGTTTGCTTTGCTGGTGTTGGCCCCTGATGTAAAATCTTGCTGATTTCTATCCAGATACGAGAGTTGGTGTTGTCTGTGGCCACAGCCAGGATAATCAGGGAGTCTTTGGAACCTCATGCTTCATCCAAACCGGGAGCAGGGCATGTTTTTCTCCCCTCATCCCTGAGGTACCACTGAGTCTGAGAGGAGCATAGTGGGGAGCGGGGCTCTGGAACCGGCAGGCCCACCTGTGGGATCCTACCACTACTAACTAGTTGCTTGGCTTTTAAGAGTCGACCTAACATTGCCAAACCTTATATTTTGCTCATGCATGCACAGATAGTCCCACCTACCTGTCAGAGGGGTGGTGAGCCCATGAATCCTGGTGCGCATGGCATGGTACATGTTGTATAGCTGTGAAGTAGGATCCGTTGTCAAAAGTACTCCTGTTAGTGTAGAAAACAGAGCACTGTGAATTTTCTTGGCAGGTCACCTGCCTTCTCTGGGCTTTGGTCAGCTCGGCAGTCAAGTGAGGATGAAGATGACCTCTGAGCCCATCAGCCCTGTCTATGTTCTTCCAGTATTTGCCCCAGAGTTGGGATCAACTCTCTGCCCGTGATTTTTCATGGAATGAACTTTGTTTTTTTTTTACAGGAGTTATCTCTACTGACAAATTAGACATTCTCAGAGACTTCAGCGTGATACATCACATGCTAATGTCAAATGCATGGTTTTCAATACAGTTCAGGCTTACTTATGAGCAGTGCCTAGGATAAAGCTGGAGTTGCAAATTCAGAGGCCACAAAAGCAGTAGAAAGCACAAATTTTCTCTAAAGAGCAGCCCTGCTCCCTCCGTGCAACTGTTTCCCTGAGGGATTACAGTCCAGTGTGGCTGGTTTTTGAAGAGAAGCCAGAAATCTTGATTTTTATGTGAGATCTTCCAAATTTTAAACGTTGGCAACCAATTCAAACATTCAGAGCCAAACTAAACACATCTGCATGCCAGGTATGGCCTATTTCCAGATGTCCCCTCTACTGAGGATTGAAGGCGCCTGGCCTTCCTCCTCTGCTCACTGATTTTCCAACTTTGGAATATCATTGCAGTTACTCAAGTATTTCCTGTGATATATCTCTTGAAAAATATCTCTTCACAAATAAATTTGGGAAGTCATTATATCTTCTTCTTAGTGAAATATTAAAGTCTCTTACAAATTCTATAGCAAAGAAACCTGTTTAAATTTTCCCTTCTGTACTGACTCTTAGCGTCCTTTAGAATGATGCTCTTTTGAGCACTCTTTGGGAAATGCTGTTCTATGTCCTCACTCTTCCACACCGTCACGCTTAAAGCATTTACAAATACACATCTCAGTTACATGGATATAGAGACTGCTCCTCTCTTGATGAATATCGTGCATTCCAGTGATGTGCTCTGTGGTCCTGTCCTCAGCAAAAGGCATTGAGAGCCTGCACAGCAAAAAGGCGGTGAAGGCCAGAAGGGGCAGGATGGGGTTGGGCCAGACTGCATGGGCTGACCAGAGATCAAGTCTCCCAAACTCAGGGGAGCCACAGTGGAGCAGGCCAATTTCAGGTGTCCAGACTGGCCAGTGGTCAACTTCAGGGAGATGAGACCCTGTGTTGGGGTTGGCAGCCCAGAATCAAGCTGAAATTATGTGAGAGCAGAACCCACCACTGATCACAGAGGTGTGGCCTTGACCTCAGCCACCTGGACAGAAGACTCGTATTGGAACCCAATACGGGAGCACTCATGTTCAGGGAAGAACACCAGTAATTAAGAGAAACAGTAACGAACAACATATTTTCTGACATCCCACCCTCCCAGGGGAGGCTGAGCCAGACGAAAGAAGGCCTGGCATGGTGCCTCACTCAACCTGTAGCAGTTCTCTTCATATGCCCCTGAAATGTGTGTGCCAAGATCACCTTTATAAAGGGAGGCCACTGGAAGGGTTCAGGACCCCTGATCTCGGTGCTTATTGTTGGTCCCTGAATCCAGCCTCCTGGCTCTGCCCTGTATGATTCTGACACCTAGTTTCTGCAGCTAATCATAAGCGACCATTTGTGTTCCCAGAAAGGGTGTTTTTCCTGCGTGGCAAATGGTGATGATCCAGGGCCCGGCTACGACAGTGAGACCGCTCCATCCTCTGAATGCCAGGCCTTAGAGGCTCAGGCAAAGCAGAGGTTACCCTTTGCCACGACTGGCAAGGCTGGGTCTCCAGGCAGGGAATAGATTGTGGTAGGTTGTGAAGCTGTCCCCGTCAGTCTCATACACCCTCAGTTTGCAGACTCTCTACTGTGGGGCCAGTCCCCCGTGAAAGAAGGAGTGTTCATGGTTTTCAACTTTGCCAGAGTTCCCTGTCCTATTGCCACCCCTCTGTTACTCAAGTATTCATTGAGCACTGTTGGAAATAGTGTAAGACCCTTTGTGACCTGAGAAGACCCAACTTTGTAATGTCTACCAAGTTAAGTTCTAGGTTGCTTGGGTTTTTCTCCTTCTCTGCACCCTGCAGATAGCAAAGCCATTTTGACTTCTTTGGCTAGGATGGCCTGGGGTTCCAGTTTGACAAATTGGAGGCAAGTACTCTTTCCTCCAGAGCTCCTGTTGCCTGTCTAAGGAGAGCCAGGCAGGTTGGCCTCAACTGAAAGCATCCTTCTTAAACTGTTCAGTCCACTGGCCAAGTTCATGACTCCGTTCCAAGCAGTTGATTTAGAGGCCACACTCCTTGCTGCTGCAGCTTCTGCTTCATCAATGGCAACACTGGCTGTGCTCCATCTAAGGCCCTTGGAGCCAAGATTTTTGAATTGAAGAGTCTCAAGAATAAATATCAGTCTTCTAAAAAGAGTTAAGTATGAATGCTTGATAATAATTGGAATATGTTTTGTGTGCTGAGATCTTAAAATGATGTATTTTCCGTCAAGTCATTTGATTGGATTCAATGATACTTTTTTATTGCAAAGTAAGTCTATGCCCTCAACTCAAACTTGACCCTGTAAGTGGGACATCAGATTCCCAGAGTCTTCCTCTAAACTTAGTACAGCCTGTAAATAAGGTCCTTAAGGAAGAATTCACCAAAGCACACCAACAACAGAAATGCACATGTAGTGATTGCCCCTTCATTGTGGGGA